CMMCSRAAAMYKGRAAAWWAAWKKTWAAAAAAAWTYYYYTTYYTWAAAAAAAAAAAAAAGTTAGAGCTGATCATGGTCACCCAAAACGAATGTTCAGCAAGCAGATGAGTGATCTATAAAGCATGTAGGAAGGTCATCTGTTGGTTGTCTTGCTGATTGTTCCCTCTCTTCCCATGTCCAACAGATCTCCAATTCCTGGGACTCTGCTTTCTACATCTGTCTTCTGACCTGCCCTTTCTGGTCCTGTGGCCAGGGCTGGCTTCATGGGTGTATGACTTGTGCAGCTGCACAGGGCTGTGTACTTGAAAGGGCCCCCAATGCTCTGCTATCACTTTCTTGAAATTCTTAATTTTTGTACAGGAGACCCTACATTTTTCTCTTTGCACTACGGATTTGCAAACTATGTAGCTGGTCCTGCTCATGGCTGTAGTTAAAAGGTCTCATTAAAGGCCTAAGTTAAAGGTTTAAAGGTCCTCATTAAATCTCCCTGCCATCAACCCCAGCAACTAGACTGTGCTTACCAATAGCATTTTGTTTCCCAGTCTCAAACTTTATTTATTTATTTAGTTTTTTAATAGTGGGGCTTGAACCCAGGGACACTATACCACTGAGGTACATTCCTAGCTCTTTTAATTTCAAGACATTAAGTTGTTGAGAGTCTTGCTAGATTGCCCGGACTGGCCTTGAATTTGCAATCCTCCTGCCTCAGCCTCCTAAATCTCTGGGATTACAGGCATGCAGGCTGTCCACACCCAGTTGCAACATGATCTTAGATGTAGATCTGTGTGGAGTCCACCTGCTCTGCTCAAGACTCTTTGGTACCACCTACACACTAACTGATAAAATTCAAATTCCTTAGTGGAAAACAAAGGTTCTTGTTCTGACCAGTTGGTCTTTACTCATCTCTAATACTGCTTCTCCCCTTCCTTCCCAGCACCCCCCTCCTTTGTACAGGAACCTTCATACAACTCCAGCTACTGTTATACCTCCAAGAAGCCACTTCTTAGCCCCTGCCCCTTCCCCCAGATTGACCCTGTTGTCTGTCCTGCCATTAGCCTGCAGCTGCTGAGGGAAGGGGGTACTTATCTGAGAGTCTGCATCCCCCTCCCAACACCCGCATGGCAGGAGCTAGATCAGTATTGACGGAATGGAATTCAGTGCTTGATGAGACTTAGMGCAACTGACCCTTTGGGAAGGACCTAGAGAGAAAGTTAGTATCAGCATAAACCAGGGAAGCAAGACAGAAAGCTGTGGACACACACAGTCCACAGGATTAGGAACTAAGGTTCATGGCTATAGTCTAGGAGGAAGAGGAGAGTGTCAGTTTGGAAGGCCTTAATGGCATAATAATCACACTTGTCCCCCTCACTGCTTTGGAATGGGGTGAGGGTAAGCTCAAAGAAAAAAAAAAAAACAGTTAAAATTAACATTGTGAATCCATGAGGCAGGACCTTATCCATTTCTCCCCACCCACACCGGTAATTCTCAAAGGGAGGCAAGGACGTTTTTAGGGTTCTTGGCTCTTGTTTGACCCTGTCATTGTAATCTGCAGCATCCTTTGGAAGGCCATGTGTGTTTCTTTATAAAAGTCTCTTGGGAACTRCATGCCCAGAGTTCAGCTTACAGTTTCAGGGAGTTTACAGACCTGTAGAATATCCTGGGAACTCCTACAGTAGTCCCTGGTCATTGCAGCCTCATTCAGAGCCTCTGAGACTCTTCCCAGGCTCTTCCTGGCCTGTAAGTAGGAATGGGTCAGAGAGCGCCCACAAAGTAGGGCCCCAGAGCAGTCCCAAAGTGGACCCAGGGTTCCTCTCTAACCATGGTTGCATTTGGTCCCCTTTGTGTATTTACCTGTTTGTTTCTCATTCCGGGAGCAATGCATGTTTGTTGTGGGAAAAGCAAAGAAATGAAAAGAATGTTTTTTGGGGGAGGGGAGATAACTGCTTTTCAGGTTTAAGACCCTAAATCAAAGCTGCAGACAGATCTAGAATTGCTTCCCGCCATCTCTGATAAAGGAAATAACACTACGCTAAGGAATCAAAGATCTGCATTCCCATCAAATCTCTATTGCCACTTTTTATTCATTTATCTAAAATAGGTAGAATGCCTTTTCTTGCCCTGTGACCTTCCCATCTCCCTTCTCTCCCCTTCCCAGAATCCTAGAATGGAGCAAATACGGTGTTCACTTGGGGGTACAGACAGCAGTTGCAGTGTGACTGTTGAGAATCACTGACCCTCTCAGAACCATAGTGACTTGCTCATGGTCACATCAGACATTCAATAAGTATCACCCCCTGAGCAAAGTTCAGCAGGTTGAGTGACCATCCCATCCCTCTCCTGTGTTTATGAACTTGCTCCAAAGCCCCTGTCCTTTCTGGTTTCACTTGATTATTTATTCCTCGGTCTCTCCCCGACC